GATGCATCGGAAAAAAAAAAAAAAAAAAAAGTTGGACATGATAGCTCGTGGCTTTGCGTGGGCGGGAAGTCTGGATTTTCAGTAACTTCCGAAACCTCCTGATGAGCGTAGGGAGGGCGGCTCTAGCGAAACGCGTCGAGGTATTCCGCCTGGAGAGGTGTTATTACACGGGTTTTTTTATGATCCTCTCGTACGAGAGTCGGTGCATATGGATTTTTTTTTTTTGTGAACTCTCCGCAAGGAAGAATTTTTGGAAGAAGTCTTTTTCAAGTGTGGACGTGTGCTCAGTTCTCGGCTATGGCTCTGCGTCGTGTAGCGTCTCTACGCCGCGACTGATGCTCTCAATCCCGTTAACAGTCTGTGTTGCCGCGGCTGTCTCCTCTGGATTTTCTGCACTCGAAAGGGGGGGGGTCTATTTCCAGACTTCGTTTTCTTTGTTTTTTTGAACTCTGGAAATCGAACTTCAAATGTGAAATTCAGATATCATGGTGGATCTGATGGGAACCCTTCCGGGTCTGTCAGATGGCCTGTTAGAGGCATCATGACATACATGGTGATGAATGTATCCCCATACCCATTACTTGTTCATCCTCGTGGCTGTGTTCGTGGACACATTTTATTGCCACGTTACATCACTATAAGACTTACATGAAGCAGATCGTACCAGCCCATAAATTCAGGTGCACAGCTGTTGTTCTCTGTTTTACCATAAATTCAGGTGCACAGCTGTTGTTCTCTGTTTTATGTGCTATTTCAATTCATGCAAATAAAAAATCTCTTTGTATTTTCCAAAAAAACATAAAATTGCGTCACACATCGTAGAATACTTTGCTAGTGGGTCCAGACCCATTAGTGAGGTACTCTACCACTCCAATCAGGATTTCTATCACGTGTGGCGTCCAGTGACGCAGTACGGCCGTCGAATACATCGGATCTCAACGGCCTGGTAGTTTCCCAGCGGGGACTGTAAAGATGCCCCTCTCCGTCCAATGGGATGCATCGAAAAACAAAGAAAAATAAATTTGGACATGATAGCTCATGGCTTTGCGTGGCGGGAAATCTGGATTTTATGGGCTCGAAAGGGGGGGGGTGTGATTTCCAGACTTCGTTTTTTTTTTTTTTGGCTCTGAGAAATCGAACTTGAAATGTGAAATTCAAGTATTGTGGTGGATCTGACAGGAACGCCTCCGCGCCTGCCTGGTAGAGGCATCATGAGATACATGGTGATGAATGTATCCCCATACCCCTTGTTCATCCTCATGGCTATGTTCGTGGACACATTTTATTGCCATGGAACATCACTATAAAGACTTACGTGAAGGAGATAGTACCAACCCATGAATTCGGGTGCACAGCTGTGGTTCTCTGTTTTATGTGCCATTTCAATTCATTTTAAATCAGAAAAAGATCCACTCATGCAAAAAAAAAATCACTTTGTCTTTTCCAAAAAACCATAAAATTGCGTCACACATCGTAGAATACTTGGCTAGTGGGTCCAGGCCCCAGAGGGGGGTTTCTCTGCACTTCGCATTTTTTCACTAAAAAATAAAATAGAACGGGCATGGGTGCAGGCACTGCAGGTTGCCTGCCAAACGGCAGGAACCCCTCCCGCCGTGTGTGTGTGTGTGTGTGTGTGTGTGTGTGGTGTGTGTGTGTGGGGGTGGGGGCGACCTCCACCCACCCAATCAATCCTCAATCAATCAAGAAACCAAGAAATTAAAAAAACTTGAAAAAAAGTGTGTGTGGGCGGGGGGGAATCAATCAAAAAAAAAAAAAAGGACTTTCTTTCGGGTGTGTGTGTGTGTGTGTGCGCGCAAGGAGGGAGGGGGGGGGGGTTGGCTCCCCCATGAATGAATCAATCAATCAATCAATCAATCAATCAATCAATCAATCAATCAATCAATCAATCAAACAAACAAACAAACAAAAAG